ATATATATATATATATATATATATATATATATATATATATATATGTATATATGTATATGCACATATGCACGCGGTGATGTACGCGCTATGGACCGCAAGAGGGCAAACACGAACAACGAGCAAACAACTGCGCGCCACAAAACGCCGGAGTTGCTTTGAAACGTTAGAATGTTGTAATTTAAGTTTTATTACAACCGCGGCCGCGACGATGATGACAAAATGAAAGATGCTCAGCGACACCGCGAATTTTACGGCGGTGCATTTAATTCTCTCTTCATTTGTTTTTATCTTCCACTTTATTTCTTCCATCACACGAGAACAAACGTTAAACTTGCAGAATGACACTCTTAACTGACTTCGAAAAAAGAGGTTGCCCTGTATGTATATTTGTTTATTTGTATATTCCTTTATATATATGTTTGTATGTTTGTTTATTTGTATATTCCTTCATAATTCGAGAATCGTTAAAGATATCGAGATGAGATTTTTCTTAGTAACTTGTTCAGTATGTTACTTGCGTAGAAATATCTAAACAGCCCATAAAATATTGGCGCAGTAGTTTGCCGTCAAAAGACAAAAAGAAAAGGGCAAATTAAATAGATAACTAACCATATACTATATAACTATATAACTATTTGAACTATATTGCTATATAAGCATAGGAAGATATAAACCGCCGACTTCTAATATGGTTAGAATAGGACTGTAGATGTATGTATACATAGAAATATTGCTTCAAAATTATTTTAATTGAGGCTTCTGAAGGTGAATATAATCGTAATAATTCTATCTGTAGAAATCGTAGCGACTTGAAGCAAAGGTCATTGGAAAAGAAGAATTATCGTACTTTGGAGGAAGAAAAGTGAAATCGTTCTCCTGTGAAATAAATAAATTGAAAGGATCAAAGCGCGATCATATAAGTATAAAAACATCGGATTTTTTGTTTTTGTGCTAAAACAGACATTAATTTAGATTAAAAAATAATGGAAAACTTTGGTTTGGATTTGTAATGCGAAGCGTTTTCGATGGTGTTTTTCGCGGGCGCAAAGCGTTTAAAAGGGAAGCAAAATTACATAACAGGATCTTTCCGTCTAGTAGCGAACATCTTTTGCTGTAGCGCGCCAAAGTTCAAGTAGCTAAGAAATTCAGCTTCGGTAGCAATAACTTTAGCCGTCCCCATTTCAATGACACGTTCTTAGCTGCCACAGCTATGCACGTCAGCTCCTACGACTGATCCTTTTTTCGCGTGCAGCTGCCGCATAAAAAGTTTCCCGACGAGTTCGTGGCGAGTCGTTTTGTCAATCATTGCGAATGTATTAACTTCGTCGATGCGACGTTACACAGTTCTCCCCGATGCCGATGTAATCGCCCCAATTACTGTCCCCCGCAAATCAACCCGACCGCTATTACGTTCTCCGTAATTACTTCATTGTGTCGGTGGATGCGGATGGGAGAAGGGGAAACGAATTTTACATCGAGCGCGCGTTCTACGCCGTCCAATAAAACGCGGCCGACAGCCGAAAGTACTTTCCGCGATTGTCAGACGCGAGTCGAGCACGCGCGAATAACGCGTCGGTGTGCGAAATTGGTCGTAAATTCCACGGCTCGGGAATCTTTTATCTCTTAATGCGACTCCGCGCACCCGTTCCTTGCGGTGCCTGCTACTGTTACAAGATAAGGGACGTTGCCTAGCTCCCTCCTTAATCTCCGCTTTTTCACCTCGCGTCGCGCATCGCGCCCAGGTCGATCCCTCTAACGCGTCTCCCACGGTCCCGGCACACGGGCGCAATTCCTCCCCTGTTCCCGTTATTTTAACTGCTTCCGCGCTTGTGACGAGATGAGGTAACAGCATGCCGCGCACTCGCATGCATTTCTGTAACGTACGTGTGCCGGCATTACCGCGGCGATAAAAGGTAACAAAGTCGTCGTCGGGTGGCATAAATAAGTGACGCGCGCGCGAGCTCTGTTTTACACGGGCGCGATATATTCGCTTCAATCCGGCGCGAAGCAACAACTGCGACTTCAATTAGGACGAGCATGTACTTCGGAACGTCAGCTGTGTACTCTCCCGCGGGTGTGGTAGTAGCGTTAGCGTAATAATTGAGATTTCTCGGGAGGATCGCGCGCGTCACGACCCAGAAGAGCAAAAACGCGCCGCTTGTTCGCGACGAGCGCGAGTTACGCTCCACCTCGAAAAACTCCGCGCCGATAACCGGCAAAATTATCGATTGCACGAAAATACCGTGCGTCCGGCACAACATCGACATGGCATACGCCACGGTATCGGAAAAATTGCATTCACTCCCGCGAGAAATATTTTTCAGGAATGACTATTGGTGTGCAAGGCACGGCCCTGCTGGCGCGATGCCCTTTGTTTTTCGTTGCTCCCCCCCCTCTCTCTCTCTCTCTCTCGTTATTAACTAATTGTTATTGTTGCAAAAATGTGTTCTTTGATAACAAATGAACTGCAGCGTTAAACCGCTTGAAAATTTCGGAAAGCCGGAATTTTTCTCTCAGCCACAAAGGCTGAAAGAATTCCACTCACATGCGTGTTTTTTTAATTACTTGACTGTGAATGCGTTATTCTTGTGATGGGACCATTTGATTGGAACGCAAAATGCAGCTCTAAAAAATTTATAATTGAATCAAAATATAGTGTACATATGTGTAAACGAGGCAATGTCATGAAAATTGCACATTTGACAAAATATTTAAAATAGTACTCTCCCCTCTCTTTCTCTTCCTTTAGACGATCATATCGTGAGAGAGAGGATAGAGTAAAAAATTTCACCGTACAAGCAATCTCTCTCCTATGTGTATTGTGTACCTCCATTACGAAACCACTTCGTAACTGCGAACTTGATTTCCCATTGGCACTAACATAAGGTGATCTGACAGACAGGCCGCTGGGATATTCAAAGAGAATATGAATATTAATACCTAAACTCTCGCATTGCATTTCTAATTCCTGCAAGATCCCGTTGCAAATGCCAGATATCAAAGAGAAATGATAATAAGTCGGGGGAGAAGTTGAATTTCCAAACAGTCAAAACGCGAGCAGCGAAATGTCGGGATATAAATCTGGAGAACGGGGATAATCGTAACAAGATATAAATTGCGAGAACGCTGTCGGAGACTTAACTATAGTGGTCTCCGCACAACGTTCAAGTTTTATCTTGAATTACTAGTTTGTTCCAACACACACGCGCGCGTCCATACGGACGCGATGGCGATGTAAGACACCGTAAGAAGAAACTAATAAAGATATTACAAAGTTCCCGATAAGCGCAGAAATTGGCGCGAAGGAAATCGATTGCTACTGCAGAGAAAAAGAGAAAAAGAGGGATGTTGGCCGAGTTGCAGCACGGCGGAAACTACATATCCCCGCCATGTCGCTTTTCCCCTTCAACGTCGTCGTCTTGGCGACGTACCCCTGTAATCCCGACGTATCGAGACGTATTTATCCGAACGCCGTGTGAGATACGCGTACACCTGGAAAACGCCGCATGAGGAAAAGGACGAGCCCGTGACCCCAAGATACCGACGGGAATATAAAGCAGCCGGTGTGCGGTAGAACGGTCTCATAACCAGTCGTTTCTTTGTACACGTTTTTCCCTCGTCTACCCTCTACGCGCGTTAGGACTTTAAGGAACGAGCGCAACGGGAAATTCACGTGGCGGTGGCGCCATCGCCACCACTACTACCGACGGATTTCGAGAGCGCGACGGATGCAAATTAAACGCTGCCGCCGACGTGAGGGGAATGGATGGTAGTCATGGTGCGTGTAGGCAAAAGAAAAACTCTCGTGGTTCTTGCGGAGAAGGGACGAGTTGACTAGTGTCTGTTTAAATCCACGGAAAAGGGGAAAGGCGGGGA